TCCCTCCCTCCCTCCCTCCCTCCCTCTCTCTCTCTCTCTCACCGTCTCTCTCACCCTCTCTCTCTCACCCTTGCCCGGTTTAAGAGGGGTAGGGGAGACTTCAACTCCCAGAATTCTCCAGGCATCCTCTCCCTCCCTCCATTTCTTCCTCCCCTCTTCCCTCCCTCTGTATTCTTCCTTTTTCCTTCCTTCCTCCCTCCTTCCCACCCTTCCATCCTATTCTTTCTTTTTTCTCCCTCCCTTCATTTCTTCCTCCCCTCTTCCCTCCATTATCTTCCTTCACCTCCCTCCATATTCTTTCTTTCTTTTTCCTTCCTTCCTCCTCCCCTCTCCTACCTTCCCTCCTTTCTTTCTTTCGCCATCTTTTTTTCCTTCTTTCCTCCCTCCCTGTTCTTTCTTTTTCTTCCTCCCTCACTTCCTCTTCTTTCTTTCTTTCTTTCTTTCTTCCTCCTTCCCTCTCCTACCTGCCCTCCTTTCTTGTGCCATCTTTTTTTCCTTCTTTCCTCCCTCCCTCTTCTTTCTTTCTTTCTTTCTTCCTCCCTTCCTCCCTTCTTTCCAATATACATCCTCATTGTGGCCCCGCTTACTCTCTTACAATCCCTTCCTCTGCATTCTCTCCGCTCTGGAGAACGGGGCGGGGGAGAAAAAGGAAGCGTGGCTGGCTAAGGAACTCTGGGACCCGAAGTCCACACTCGCCTTCAAGTTGCCGCGGTTGTGGCAAACACCGATTTACAACATCCGTAATCGGAATTTTGGGGCACACGGGAGCCCCAGAGGAGCTGGAAAAAAAGTGGACGCCCACTGCCCCCTAAAACCTTCCAGTCTTCGCTTCCCCAGCGCCCCAAGTTTGAAATTCGGTTTTTTTTTTGGAAAGGTGCTGGGATTTAGGGTTGGGCAGAATGCATTTTAAAAAAATAGGCTTAAAAATATCTTTCTAGAGACCGACAGCCCTATCACCGTGTGTGAATTGGGTGGCCTGCTCCCCCCCCCCTTCTTCTAAAAATAATAGCGAAAAGGCGCAGGGAATGTGTTTGCATGGATCGGGTGAGGGGGCTCGGCTGTGAACTTAGCCTCCAAAGTGGCAGCTTCGGATAATCATCATGTCTCGATTTTAATTTCCAGTGCTCAGTGATCCCCAGACTCGAGCCATCTATGACATTTATGGAAAGCGAGGCCTTGAGATGGAAGGATGGGAGGTAAGTAGAAGAGGGAGGGAGAGAGAGAGAGAGATGCTACTATCCACGTTGTCTGGTCACCCTCTTGGCTTTGGGTTGGTTGTCTGTTTGGGGCAGGGAAGGAGAAACGGACGAGTGTAACAGAATTGGAAGGGACCTTGGAGGTCTTCTAGTCCAACCCCCCCTGCTCAAGCAGGAAACCCTCTACAATTCAAAGACAAATGGCTGTCCAGTCTCTTCTTNTATCTATCTATCTATCTATCTATCTATCTATCTATCTATCTATCTATCTATCTAAAACAGAACCAAAAAAAAAAACCTTAACTCCAGAAATGGCTCCAGTCCCGCTACTTATATTTAAAAACAGTGTGGTTTTCTGCTGCTTTAAGAACAGAAGCTGGGCTCTTCAATTTGTGAAGGCCAGGAGATGACGCCAAGATCAATCCATTAAGATTAGAGCTGGAAGGGATCTTGGAGGTCTTCTAGTCCAACCCTCTGCTAGAGCCGAGGTGGCGCAGTGGTTAGAGTGCTGTACTGCAGCCACTTTAGCTGACTGTTAGTTGCAGTTCAGCGGTTCAAATCTCACCGGCTCAAGGTTGACTCAGCCTTCCATCCTTCCGAGATGATCCTCTTTTGCGACCGTCAAAAAGCTTGGCTTTCCTTATGTAGCAGATTTCAGGAGCCTCGATTGCTGGTTTAATGGGGATTTCTGGTCTTTTTTTTTTCTCTCCCCCCCCCCCCTTTCTCCAGGCCTCTCAAGAGGAGTTAAAAGCCGCCTACCGCCGGCTGTGTATGCTGTACCATCCTGACAAGCACAGAGACCCCGAACTCAAGACCCAGGCAGAGCAGCTCTTTAACCTCCTCCATCAGGCTTATGAAGGTAAGAGGCCGGGGGTGGGGTGGGGTGTCTCCCTTCTATTTTCTGAGCAGGGTTGGTTTTCTTGCAGACGTTTTCATGACCCAACTGGGGAACATCATCAGTGCTAGGAGGGAGTCGGGTTTTGTGGGGAAGAGGAGGAGGAGGAGAAGAAGAAGGAAGAGGAGAAAGAAAACGGGGAGGAGGAAGGAAGGAGAAGGAACGAAGGGGAGGAGAAAGAGAATGGGGAAAGGAGAAGGAATGACGGGAAGGGAGGAGGAAGAGGACTGTGGGGTCCTTGGTGCCCTCTAAGCGCGGTGGGTTTCTTGCAGACGTTTCGTGACCCAGCTAGGGAACATCATCAGGGCGGCCTACCACTGACTGTGTGTTCTGTGGGGCATTGATGATATTACTTAGTTGGGCCATGAAATCTCTGCAAGAACATCACTAAGATCAGAGAGCACTAAGGATGCAACCCTCCTCCTCCTCCTCTTCTTCCTCTTCCTCTTCTTCTTCCTCCTCCTCCTCCTCTTCTTCCTCCTCCTCCTCCTCTTCTTCCTCCTCCTCCTCCTCCTCTTTTTCCTCCTCCTCTTCTTCCTCCTCTTCTCCTCCTCTTCCTCTTCCTCCTCCTCCTCCTCCTCCTCTTCTTTCCTCCTCTTCTTCTTCCTCCTCCTCCTCCTCTTCTTCCTCCTCCTCTTCCTCCTCCTCCTCCTATTCCTCCTCCTCTTCTTCCTCCTGCTCTTCTTCCTCCTCTTCTTCTTCCTCCTCCTCCTCTTCTTCCTCCTCTTCTTCTCCTCCTCTTCCTCCTCCTCCTCCTCTTCTTCCTCCTCCTCTTCTTCTTCCTCCTCCTCCTCTTCTTCCTCCTCT